CCTGACCACAAGGTGAAAGTTATTTTCCAATAAGTTCACGGTCGTTAGTGCTTTCCCACCTAGTAGGTTTAAGGATCATTTCTGAACCTTAGGGAATCATTACTGTGACTTCCTTCCTAGTGTACTAATAATAAGAATGCCAATAAAAAGAGAATATTCAGACACATCCATTGCTTTCATTACCGTCATCTTCTTCCAAGGCATCGGGGTGAGAAACAAAGATGGGTTCTGATGGGTATGAATCGGGCTCTTGCCATACCCAAGTTTCTTTAGTTTTGACATTCAGCTTACAGAGCTGTTTGTTAAGAAAGAAAAATCAATCAATCAGTCAATATGCTTGACTTGACTAGCATATGACTTAAAGTACTGTTCTCATATCAGTAAGATGGATTAATTACCCTGTCTGGAACAAAGTGATTCAAGCCAAGTCCATATGCGTATGTATAAGGTTTCCCACCATACTTCTGGTAATTGATTTGCGGAAACTCAAATGCTACAAAATAGAGCACATGCTTAGGAAAACCCAGTTAATCTTTCTGAATGGAACATTTTGTGCCCTCTCATGGGAGGGTTTTCTCCAAATCATCTCACCTTGGCGAGGCCCTGAAAAGAGGACCTCAGGTTCCAGCCAGATGGTCTCGTCACTGCACAGAATTGCAGTGGCGGTTGTGTTGGGGAGGGTGACTAAATTCTTGCCTGTGTCAGCCTAAGAAAGAGGATAACAGCAAGTTCAGTGAGCAAGGAAAGAAAAATCAAGCAGCCATAAAGGCAGCCTTCCTGAATTTTGTCTCCTGAGTTCTTTACCTCTTAAGTCAACATATAGGGAGGAACAAGTCAGAAAATTCTGGAGAGGGGAGCCCAGAAACACAAGAGGGAGAGCTGGCTGTGCCTGTGGACACACCAGTTGTGCATCACTGGGGAAGTCATGTAAATGCTTAGGCCCTAAATCTTCTCATCTGCAAAATGAGACTGTCCTCAAAGAAAGAGGCCTCTAAGGAAGAGACCCTGGAAAAAAACAAAACTAAAGAGTGGTTTCCTACAGAACAATAAATACTCCAGCTCCCCCTCCCCCACCCCCATCTCCTTTATAGTTGGGATATATTTTTATTTTGTTTGAAAAATATTATACAGTTATGGTGTCAAAAAGAAAAAAAATAGGAAAACTAGCGGACCAGATGTTTTCTAAGATCTCTTGTCACCTCCTCATATGGTTTTTCAGATTATTTATGAAAGGAATGAATATCATGAACCCTTTCTAAGAGCGTATTCATTTAGTAATGCCTGTATTAAATATCTGAGTACATATTTTATGATCGACTCTATTCTAGGCATTTGGGATATTTCAGAGAATATAGCTCCTTTCCTTATGAAGTTTATATTATAGTCTGGGGACATAATACATATAATTAATAGATAATGTGTATAGTATATCAGAAAAGTGGGGAGAAAAAATAGAGCAGAGTAAGGGGCATCAAAACTATGAAGGGTAGGTGAGTTGTAATTTTAATAGATAGTAGGGGTGGACCTCATTAAAAAGGTGACATCTGAGATAAAACTTGTAGGAGATAAGGAAGTTAGCAGTTCATATATCTGGGGAAAAGCATTTAAGCAGAGAAAACAAACAGTGCAGAAGCCTGAGGTAGGATTGTGCCACATATGCTTGAAAAGCATGAAAAGAGACCAGTGTGGCTGCAAATGACTGAGCATGGGGAGAAGAACAGGAGGGGAGGTTAGAGGGATGATGGGGCCAGACTGTGTAGAGTCTTAAAGGTCATTGTGAGGACTTTTTCTGTGAGTGAAAAATGGGAAGTCATTGGAGGGTTTTGAGCAGAGGAGTGACATGCTATGATTTATTTTTAAAAGAATCACTCTAGCTGCTCTGTTGAGACTTCCCTTGGGAGAAGGGGAATGCAAAAGTGGAATCAAGGAACACAATTTGTCTTGTAGTAGTCCAGTCAAAGAAAAACAGTGGCTCAGACTAGGCTAGTAGCATTGGAGTCGGTGAGATGTGGGAGGAAGAGCTAAGAGGATTTCCTGATCAGCAGGATATGGGGTGGAGAAGAGTCATGAAATTAAGAGAGGAGTCAAGGATGACCTCAACTTGTTTGGACTGAACAATCAAAGGCTGGATTTGCCACAAAAAGATGGGGACTACTGCACATGGGGTACATTTTTTGGTGGGGGAAGAGGAGAAATTTAGGTTTTGTCTTGAAAAGCTTGAGCTATTTGTTGGACATCCAAATGGAGACATAGGGTTGGCAGTAGTACTCCCTTGAGTTGAAAGGAAAGTTGAAATGTAAATGCAGGCTGCATTAAAGCAAGAGTCTTTACAAAAGGAGTGAATGTACAAATAGAAGATAGAACAGAATGAAGAGTTGAGTTCTGGTGCCCTCCAGCATACTTGGTCTAAAAGAAGAGAAAAGAGGGATTCGCTGGTGAGGGCAAGAGGAGTCAAGAGAAGGGTTTTATGAGAGGGCAAAATAATAGCATGATATGCACGATCCAGTTAAAAGTGGAGAAGAGTGATGATATAGGAGAGAGGGGGAGAACTGCTGGAGTGATGTCTTTGGGTGGGTGAGGGATGTTGAGAAGGACTAGTTCTGAATAAGACGATGAATAATTCAGTATGAGTACAGATGCTGGTGGGTGGGTAGATGTGGTGGCAGGAGCCTGTGTTGGTTTTTGACTTTTTCATTCTTTCAGTAAAATAGGAAGCAGAGCCATCAGCTGACTATGCATGTGGAGGTGGGAGGTGTTAGAAGTTTGAAGAGAGGAGGGTGTGAAATGTTTAACTAGGAAAGTGAGAGAGTAAATGGAGTTGAGAGATGTAGCGGTAAGATCTGTGGTTGTATATTTAAAAACAGGCCAGTTAACATGATTGTGTGTTTTCAACACTTAATTTCAGCCTCAGAGGTACAAGCATGGAGTGGGTGGAGAATTTAATTTAACACTTGCTGTGGTTTTGACAAATGAGTTTGATAAAATAAGAAGGCAAGAGAAATGAGGATCTATACAAGATCCATAATTATTGATTATGGAAATTTAGTTGAGTAAGGAGGGAAGGTAAGTCCTCAAGAGAGTGAGAAATAGTAAGAAGGTAGGAAATTGGAGATTTCTGGTAAGAAATGCAGTAAAGCAAGTGATGTTGAAAGATATGAGATGGCAGTCAGTGTTATGCATGAAATTAAGATTATGGACAAAGCACATAGAAGTCATAGGTAAGGACAATGTCAAGGACATGAGTGTGCGGAATGAGTGGCTGAGATACAATGGGAGACAGCATCAGTAGAAGAGGTCAAGGAACTGAGAGGCCAGGTTGTTGGAAGAATCACCTACGATGTGTATCTGGAAATCACAGTCAGGAGTAGATCTGGGAAGCGTGACATTGAGCCAGAAGGGAGAGGGGGTGGTGGTTAGTAGATGACAACAATAATGAGGGGTGTATATATGTATATGTGTGCATACCA